CGTTTAAAATATTATTCACCGGCTTCCAGAGTGGCGCAGCGGTCTAAGGCACTGCATCGCAGTGTTGCGGCGTCACTACAGCCTGGGGTTCGACCCCAGGCTGTGTCACAACCGGCCGTGACCGGGAGTCCCATAGGGCGGCGCACAATTGGCCCAGCGTCATCCGGGTTAGGGGAGGGTTTGGCCGGGGGGGGGGGGGGCTTTACTTGGCTCATCGCGCTCTAGCGACTCCTTGTGGTGGGCCAGGCGCCTGCAGGCTGACTTTAGTCGTCAGTTGAACGGTGTTTCCTCCGACACAGCTGGTTCCGGGTTAAGCGAGCGGGTGTTAAGAAGCGCGTCTTGGCGGGTCATGTTTCGGAGGACGCATGACTCGAACTTCTCCTCTCCTGAGCCCGTTGGGGAGATGCAGTGATAAGACAAGATCATAAAAAGGGGATATATGTACACGATTCTTCAACTGTGACAGAGCGACACGACTGTCCTCAACGGTACTCCCTCCGGCTTTGGTCTTTGTCAAGCCATCAAGAAAACCCTACTAGCTTGATAGGCAGCTAGGCTAGCTGCTACGCCAAACAGCTCCTCAGACCCGGCCTTGGTCGGCAGGATCACTGGACAGATAGTAGCGGTCCCAGCAACTGATGTCACGGGATCCAAACTCAAAAGGTAGCTAGACATTCAAAACTTTCCAAGACAACAAACCGAGCTCTCCCTCGTTCCGCGTTTAACAGGAAGTGACGTTGTTAATTAGTACTTCAACATTTTTATTAAAATGAAATGTAATGTTGTAAAAGTGTGTGTGGCATAAATGACTGTGATCTGTCTTTGTTCATTTCAGCAGCAGTCTTTCTTTCCCCTGGTGGCGTTCATACGTCTTTGTGCCCACAACTTGAAACGGAACGCCATTGAATGGGAGACTGCCAAAGCCTGTGCATTTGTTGCAGGTTAAGAATATGATTTTACTTTTAGTTTCCATACAAGCCTTTCATTCTAACAACGTTGCTCTGTCAAATAGAATACAGTCGTATGAAAAAGTTTGGGCACCCCTCTGAGGCTGCATAATAATTTGGGCACCCTTGTCATTCGGTTGATTTGAATACCTGTAACTACTTAGCACTGATTAATTGGAACACACAATCGGTTTGGTGAGCTCATTAAGCCTTGAACTTCATAGACAAGTGCATCCAATCATGAGAAAAGGTATTTAAGGTGGCCAATTGCAAGTTGTTGTTCTCTTTGACTCTCCTCTGAAGAGTGGCAACATGGGGGCCTCAAAACAACTCTCAAATGACCTGAAAACAAAGATTGTTCAACATTATGGTTTAGGGGAAGGCTACAAAAAGCTATTGCAGAGATGTAAGCTGTCAGTGTCCACTGTGAGGAACATAGTGAGGAAATGGAAGACCACAGGCACAGTTCTTGTTAAGGCCAGAAGTGGCAGGCCAAGTAAAATATCGGAGAGGCAAAGGCGAAGGATGGTGAGAACGGTCAAAAACAGCCCACAGACCACCTCCAAAGACCTACAACATCATCTTGCTGCAGATGGTGTCACTGTGCATCGTTCAACAATTCAGCGCACTTTGCACAAGGAGAAGCTGTACGGGAGAGTGATGCGGAAGAAGCCTTTTCTGCACACATGCCACAAACAGAGTCGCTTGAGGTATGCAAACGCACATTTGGACAAGCCAGCTTCATTTTGGAATAAGGTGCTGTGGACTGATGAAGCTAAGATTGAGTTATTTGGTTATAACAAGGGGCGTTATGCATGGCGGCAAAAGAACACAGCGTTCCAAGAAAAACACTTGCTACCCACAGTAAAATTTGGTGGGGGTTCCATCATGCTGTGGGGCTCTGTGGCCAGTGCCGGTACTGGGAATCTTGTTAAAGTTGAGGGTCGCATGGATTCCACTCAATATCAGCAGATTCTTGGGAATAATGTTGAAGAATCAGTCACAAAGTTGAAGTTACGCCGGGGCTGGATATTTCAACAAGACAACGACCCAAAACACTGCTCAAAATCTACCCGGGCATTTGTGCAGAGGAACAAGTACAATGTTCTGGAATGGCCATCCCAGTCCCCAGACCTGAATATCATTGAGAATCTGTGGGATGATTTGAAGCGGGCTGTCCATGCTCGGCAACCATCAAACCTAACTGAAGTGGAGATGTTTTGTAAGGAGGAATGGTCCAAAATACCTTCATCCAGAATCCAGACACTCATTAGAGGCTATCCGAAGCGTCTAGAGGCTGTTATTTTAGCAAAATGAGGCTCTACTAAATATTGATGTGATTTTTCTGTTGGGGTGCCCAAATTTATGCACCGGTCTAATTTCGTTTTGATGCATATTGCACATTTTCTGTTAATCCAATAAACCTCATTTCACTACTGAAATATTACTGTGTCCATCAGTTATTTGATAGATCAAAATGAAATTGCTGATCCAAACACCCAATTATTTATAAATGGAAATCATGGAAATTGTCAGGGGTGCCCAAACTTTTTCATACGACTAACTCTTCTGTGCTTGGAATGGAATCCCTTATGTTAGCTAGCTAGCTAGCTAGCTCATTTTAGATGAGATTAGCAAAAGTTAGCTACTAGTTATCTAAAAAAAGAAAAGACAACTTACCCTTTAGCCCAAAACTTTTGTTATTTCTCAGTGTATTGAATTTTAGTGACGTTGCCAATTTTTGTTCACGACTATTTAGTTATTTGGTGCGCAAACTTGAACTTGAGATATGCCATTTAGAAAATGAGACTGGTAGGCGGGCCTTCTGACTTTGTGGCTGTGGTAACTAGTGACGACCCCAGCCCTTGATCAAATCAAATGTTATTTTACGTAGGGTTGGTGTTCCCACATGGCCATATCTCCATGTTACACTACGTGTATTAGCTATCTAGCATGCTCGGAACACCTGTGTGTAACGGAAGAAGGCCGCCAGAAACGTGTTGTTAAAATACTGTCAGCTGCAACTGTGATTTTAAAGCCGGTTTAAAACTGTGAAAGTGGATATTTTGCATTTGTGAAATAATTTTGATGTGATATGAAAGTAAAGGGCTTTTATGTTTCTAGAACTACACTGCTCCAAAAAATAAAGGGAACACTTCAACAACACATCCTAGATCTGAAATGAATGAAATAATCTTATTAAATACTTTTTTTCTTTACATAGTTGAATGTGCTGACAACAAAATCACACAAAAATGATCAATGGAAATCAAATGTATCAACCCATGGAGGTCTGGATTTGGAGACACCCTCAAAATTAAAGTGGAAAACCACACTACAGGCTGATCCAACTTTGATGTAATGTCCTTAAAACAAGTCAAAATGAGGCTCAGTAGTGTGTGTGTGGCCTCCACGTGCCTGTATGACCTCCCTACAACGCCTGGGCATGCTCTGATGAGGTGGCGGATGGTCTCCTGAGGGATCTCCTCCCAGACCTGGACTAAAGCATCCGCCAACTCCTGGACAGTCTGTGGTGCAACGTGGTGTTGGTGGATGGAGCGAGACATGATGTCCCAGATGTGCTCAATTGGATTCAGGTCTGGGGAACGGGCGGGCCAGTCCATAGCATCAATGCCTTCCTCTTGCAGGAACTGCTGACACACTCCAGCCACATGAGGTCTAGCATTGTCTGGCATTAGGAGGAACCCAGGGCCAACCGCACCAGCATATGGTCTCACAAGGGGTCTGAGGATCTCATCTCGGTACCTAATGGCAGTCAGGCTACCTCTGGCGAGCACATGGAGGGCTGTGCGGCCCCCCAAAGAAATGCCACCCCACACCATGACTGACCCACCGCCAAACCGGTCATGCTGGAGGATGTTGCAGGCAGCAGAACGTTCTCCACGGCGTCTCCAGACTCTGTCACGTCTGTCACATGTGCTCAGTGTGAACCTGCTTTCATCAGTGAAGAGCACAGGGCGCCAGTGGCGAATTTGCCAATCTTGGTGTTCTCTGGCAAATGCCAAACGTCCTGCACGGTGTTGGGCTGTAAGCACAACCCCCACCTGTGGACGTCGGGCCCTCATACCACCCTCATGGAGTCTGTTTCTGACCGTTTGAGCAGACACATGCACATTTGTGGCCTGCTGGAGGTCATTTTGCAGGGCTCTGGCAGTGCTCCTCCTTGCACAAAGGCGGAGGTAGCAGTCCTTCTGCTGGGTTGTTGCCCTCCTACGGCCTCCTCCACGTCTCCTGATGTACTGGCCTGTCTCCCGGTAGTGCCTCCATGCTCTGGACACTACGCTGACAGACACAGCAAACCTTCTTGCCACAGCTCGCATTGATGTGCCATCCTGGATGAGCTGCACTACATGAGCCACTTGTGTGGGTTGTAGACTCCGTCTCATGCTACCACTAGAGTGAAAGCACCGCCAGCATTCAAAAGTGACCAAAACATCAGACAGGAAGCATAGGAACTGAGAAGTGGTCTGTGGTCACCATCTGCAAAACCAGTCCTTTATTGGGGGTGTCTTGCTAATTGCCTATAATTTCCACCTGTTGTCTATTCCATTTGCACAACAGCATGTGACATTTATTGTCAGTGTTGCTTCCTAAGTGGACAGTTTGATTTCACAGAAGTGTGATTGACTTGGAGTTACATTGTGTTGTTTAAGTGTTCCCTTAATTTTTTTGAGCAGTGTATATCGCAATTGAGAATTGATTCACGTTTAGATGGAGTGTTTGGCTGTTTTGGCTGCCAGAGCCGGTCTACCTCTGAAAATAACAAGTTCCTTGGACCGTAAGGAGTGATGGTAGGCTCCGTAAGAGTACATCTTGGGTCAGGCTTGGGGTAGCCGACTCAACTCAGTTCAGTCGGCTAGGCTAGGGGTTAACCTTATTCGTGACTCCAATTCCATTGCAGTACATTGGCCGCTTGGGTACTCGAGAGCTGGGCTAGGGGTGGCAATGAGTAATTGATGCACAATGGAATTCTTCACATTGTTTCTCTCATGTCTCCCTGAAATCCTGCTTGACTCTTCACCAAAATGTTGTACAGGTGTTGGAAGCAGCCCATCCAGTCAGTGGGACTTCTGGGGGAGCACGCTAGTCACCAGCTCGTATGTGCGTCTGACGCCTGATGAGAGAAGTAAACAGGGATCCATTTGGAACACGGTGGTGAGTAAGGAACTAGCTTCTATGAAATGCATTGTTAGACATTACAGACAGATACACAAACAATAGACTCCACTCCCAAATCCATTATAGCTTGATTGGAGAATATCTACATTTTGAACTGAATAGGTCCAATTGATGGTTAAATTGATGATCCGATGTCATTGTGCTTTCTCTGTGCAGCCTGTTTATCTGAAAGACTGGGAGATGCACGTGCAGTACAAGATTCACGGGTCGGGGAAGAAAGATCTCCATGGAGATGGCATCGCCATCTGGTACACTAAGGAGAGACTTCATCCAGGTAATGTATCATCTTGCCAAAATAACATCTTTGTCATAAATCACTTCCTTATTCCATTACAAAGCTTTGGCAATCAAATTAGTAGACTAGTCTATGTGATGTGGTAGCACTGGGTTGTATTTCCCGTAAGCACTTCAGGTCTCAGTCATGTGCTCATCATATCTCGCCTCTTTGCCTTCCATTCAGGCCCAATCTTTGGAAACCAAGATCATTTTGTTGGCCTGGCTTTATTTGTGGATACCTTCCGCAATGATCTCCTTGGGATGGATGTAAGTGCAGCGTCTGGCTGGTTGACTTGACGTGATTCTTCCCTTGCAGGGTCTGTGTTTGGCAGCAATGCTAAGTTCCACGGCCTCGCCCTTTTTATAGACACGTACCATAACGATGAGGCGGCTGACGTGAGTTGATGCAGCTACATTTATCATTATTCTGATGTGTTTCATGTCAATGTGATGGAAGGATTTTAATGTGATGGAAGGATTATAATGTTATGGAAGGATTTTAATGTGATGGAAGGATTATAATGTTATGGAAGGATTTTAATGTGATGTATTTTCTTTTGAGTTTCTTTGTGTTCTTTTGTCATAGGAAGCTTTTGAGTTGCCTTTGTTGCTTTCTGAGAAGGACCTTTTTTGTAACACCATGAACATCACCTTTTAATATGCTGCATTCGGCTTATTACACATTTTGAATTACGTGTACAAATATTTTTTGCATCACAGCGTAAGATGGATTGATTGGTAACTGAGTCAGGATGTCTATAACGAACATTTTCCAGTTTTCTGTCCTTACATCCCTTGTGTTCTCCACTAGCGGTCCTTCCCCTACATCTCTGCCATGGTGAATAATGGTTCTCTGCCCTATGACCATGGGAAGGATGGACGTAACTCTGAACTGGGAGGCTGCTCTTCTGAGATCAGGAACAAAGACCATGACACCTACCTGGCCATTCGCTACTCCAAGAGCAGGCTCACGGTAGGAATCCCTTTTTTAAATGATATAAATGACTCCAGTCCAGACATCTTGGACGGGTTTCCTAAACACAGATGACGCTAACCCTAGTCCTGGATTAAAAGGCTTAATGGAGATGCTCCTTGGAGGATTCTCTTTGGTCCAGGACTATTCTTAGTCTTTGTCCGGGAAACTGGCCTCTTGTGTTATGAAATTGATGAATTTCAATGTTATAGAGTACATGTTATGTAATCGACGTGTTACATTTCTATTCAAATAATGGCAATTGCTGAATTGTACCATTCTGATCTCTACAGGTGATGATTGACATTGATGATAAGAATGAATGGAAAGAGTGCATTGACATCAGGGGTGTCCACCTCCCCACAGGGTACTACTTTGGGGCTTCTGCTGCTACAGGGGATCTCTCTGGTAGGTTGGGTCAGGTTGGAGCTTCTGCTGCTAGAGGGGATCTCTGGTAGGTTGGGTCAGGTTGGAGCTTCTGCTGCTACAGGGGATCTCTCTGGTAGGTTGGGTCAGGTTGTAGAGACTGGTTCTTGCTAGAGGGGATCTCTGGTAGGTTGGGTCAGGTTGTAGAGACTGGTTCTTGCTAGAGGGGATCTCTGGTAGGTTGGGTCAGGTTGTAGAGACTGATTCTTGCTAGAGGGGATCTCTGGTAGGTTGGGTCAGGTTGTAGAGACTGATTCTTGCTAGAGGGGATCTCTGGTAGGTTGGGTCAGGTTGTAGAGACTGATTCTTGCTAGAGGGGATCTCTGGTAGGTTGGGTCAGGTTGTAGAGACTGATTCTTGCTACAGGGGATCTCTGGTAGGTTGAGTCAGGTTGTCGAGACTGATTATTGCTACATGGGATCTCTGGTAGGTTGGGTCAGGGTGGATTAAATAGACTGATTCTTTCAAGATGTAGATCTAATAATTTTTTTTAGGACTCGAACACAAATGTAAAAACTGCACACTGAGAACGATAATGACTGACCTTGATTCAATTCTTATTTTAAAAAATCTCACTGTGCAGAGGAGTACGTACAGATTGAACCAATTACTTCGTTTGTCGTTTCAGTCTGGCTTTGTCAGCATAAAATCACCATAGACTTCAGATTTACAACTAACACAACTTTTCTCCCGCGTTACAGATAACCATGACATCATCTCCATGAAGATGTACCAGCTGATGGTAGATCACACACCTGATGAGGACAGTATGGACTGGACCAAGATTGAGCCAAGCGTCAGCCTGCTGAAGTCCCCCAAAGGTTGGTCCATTTTATTTTCGATAAAGAAAAAAAAAACCAATTTCCATTCTTTTTACATTTACGTCATTTTAGCAGACGCTCTTATCCAGAGCGACTTACAGGAGCAATTAGGGTTAAGTGCCTTGCTTAAGGGCACATCGACAGATTTTTCACCTAGTCGGCTCGGGGATTAGAACCAGCGACCTTTCGGTTACTGGCACAACGCTCTTACCCACTAAGCTACCTGCCGCCTCTAATCAAATAGACAATAAAGATTGTATTATATTTGACTACAGTCCGGTATGTCATCTTACTGTAGATAATGTACAGTTAGGTGAGTAGGCTTGTTAGAGTAAGAGTTAACCATGATCATTCTTCTTTCATTTTTCTCTTTCACAGACAATATTGATGATCCTACTGGTAACTTCCGAAGCACACCTCTTACTGGCTGGAAGGTCTTCCTGCTTCTGCTATGTGCTCTACTGGGAATTGTAGTGTGTGGTGTTGTAGGGGCTGTAGTCTTTCAGAAGCGCCAGGAAAGAAACAGGAGGTTTTACTAAGAGGAAAATCATATTTCTGTATGTGAGAGGTATTTGTGAAATTGACTGTTGCGAAGAATACAGATTCAACAACACATTAAACGTTAATTTTCTAAAGATTGTACAAATGTTTATATCTGCTGAAGCACTGTGACGATGACAGTCACTTATGGTATCGTTCCAATGTTTGTGAAATAACCATGACTAATGGTTACTACCACATGTATATGAGTGACCTTTTGATGGAGGCAGTTTGACATTTTTGTTTTTATTCACCCTTGTACAGTACAGGGGATAATTGTTGTTGATTTGGATCGATCTGTAAAACACTGATTAGTTAAATAACTTTCAAAGGAGATTTATTTTCACAAAACATTCTGTATAAGATGCTTAAAGATTTGTTTTCACCTCATTTAGCTTTTTGTACCATTGGGTTCTGATTGGGCTAGTTTAGACGGTTGAATCTGATTTTATTGACTTTTTACTTTTTAAACTCTGACTGCTCTTTACTTTTGGGTTCAATATGATTGCTGCACTTCTGATGCTGATATGCTAAGGCTTCTTTATCTGGCCTTTGCCATTTTCTCTCTCTCTGTGTGAAGTTTTCTTTGTTGACTTAGACAATAATATTTTGGGAGAACAACTACCATATCCACACCATCAGATGCCCTATATGAAGAATAATTTGGCTACTAATAATGCAGCGATCGATTATACCGACTACAGTTACATTTTAGGTTTTGACGTTATTATACTATGTGGGTGTTGGGAAGGATTTCAGGAACATTCTAATTTGGTAAGACCTACTGGATGCATTACAAATCTCTACTGTGAGATAGCACCACCTTACTCATCTTGCATTAGATCGATGGGAATTGTGTTTCTGATAGTTCTGCAAAAGTGTTTATTTCCTTTTGAGGTGGCTGCTTATACACTGATTATTTGAGTGGAAATATCCCTTTACTGTGATTGAATGACTCAAACTGAACAAAGCCATTGTTTAGTTATGCTGTAATACTCAATAAAACTGGTCTACCCCAAATGAGTAAAGTCAGTGTCTTCTAATGTGTAGTCCTAATGCTTCCATATCATTTGGTGTTTGTGTGACAGACAGTACACATGTTAGCCCTGGACTTCTTCCAGCAAAGCTCTACAACTGATTCAACTAATTGATGTCTAAATTGAAGACCATGATCAGTTAATTATTTTCATTCGTTTTGTTAGTGTTGGGTTGAAACGAACCCCTGCATAGTTTATACCGGAAGAACATTACTTCGAACTACAACCAGAAGTCTAACTCGAGTGTTGATTGGACGATGGTAAGCGATAGGTTACGTGGCATTGGTGTCTGCGCAGACTCAGATCACAACATCCTTCGTCTATCACCGGCTGGAAGATGGTGGCTGTCAAAATGCAGTATTGTGTGCTGTCAGTTTTGCTTTTGAACGTTTATTACACCTTTGTCTCCTCGCTGTACTTTCACATCGGGGAAACTGAGAAGAAATGCTTCATAGAGGAAATTCCGGATGAAACGATGATCATCGGTCAGTATCTTGTGTCCATTGGGATTGCTATGCTATTTAGCCATGAGAAGTCAGCTAACAGCTAGCTAGCTTGCTAGCTCGTCAAACTAGCTTCCGAGTTCGAGTTAGCTAACATTTAGCCAACAATCTAGTTCGGTAGTTAGTTATCTAGCCAGCCAACATGAAACTTGTCTGTACAGGGGGCTGTAAACTTACTTTTCAGTTGACTTGTTGACATACTTGGCTAGCTAGCTACTCAAATTCATGAGCAGGCTAACCAGCTAGCCAACGTTAGCTATACAAATACAGTGTATTGGTCGCGTACACATATTTGCAGATGTTATCGCAGGTTCTGCGAAAAGCTTATTTTTCTAGCTCCAACAGTGCAGTAATACCGAACAGAACAAGCAGACACCTGTCATATTGATGTCCTCGGCGAGCTACAGCTATCATATTTGAAATATGTCACGCATGCTTTTGATACTTTCATAAATATAAACCATGTAACTACATCATATTTTACTGTCGTACCATCCATGTCCATATCCACTTCCTGTTAACATACTGTAGGTCCTGCACAGAAACAACCCTTGGCCCTAACAGTTTACCCCTCTAACTAGGCACTTGTAAGGATAGGACCGGTAGAAGCAATCATTGGCTGGCATGTGTAAACAATTGTATTTTCTATTTTTAGGAAACTATCGTACACAATTGTATGACAAGCAGAAAGAAGAGTACCTTCCTGCCACACAGGGTCTGGGGATGTTTGTTGAGGTGAAAGATCCTGATGAGAAGGTAGGATGTTACACACTGCAACTAGTATCATTCACTTCATATGGTATTCTTTGAGAGAAACCTGTGAGAATAATTATGACCAAAGCTGCATTGAAGTGAATAGTGATGATACTGAAAAGGTGTTGCTTCCCGTCTGGACTCTAGGTGATCCTGTCTCGTCAGTACGGCTCGGAGGGAAGATTCACCTTCACCTCTCACACCCCAGGAGAACATCAGATCTGCCTTCACTCCAATTCCTCCAAGTTCGCCCTCTTCGCAGGAGGAATGCTTGTAAGTACATTAGTGTGACAAATGGGGAAAAAAGCTATTGCACTCACAATATGCATAGTTGATGGCAGGATGCAATGGGGGGAGGGGAGTCAAAAACAAGTAAAACCCACATTGATGCTCCTCTCAATTGCTGTGAACCACCCTTTGTTTTCTCAGAGAGTTCACCTGGACATCCAAGTGGGAGAGCACACCAATAACTATGCAGAGATTGCAGCCAAAGACAAGCTGACAGAGCTGCAGCTGAGAGTGAGAGGGATCAGAGGGTGAGTACATCAGCTGTCCTGCTGAGTAAAGCCCTGGACACACCGGTCAGCTGTCCTGCTGAGTAAAGCCCTGGACACACCGGTCAGCTGTCCTGCTGAGTAAAGCCCTGGACACACCGGTCAGCTGTCCTGCTGAGTAAAGCCCTGGACACACCGGTCAGCTGTCTTGCTGAGTAAAGCCCTGGACACACCGGTCAGCTGTCCTGCTGAGTAAAGCCCTGGACACACCGGTCAGCTGTCCTGTTGCGTAAAGCCCTGGACACACCGGTCAGCTGTCCTGCTGAGTAAAGCCCTGGACACACCGGTCAGCTGTCCTGTTGCGTAAAGCCCTGGACACACCGGTCAGCTGTCCTGTTGCGTAAAGCCCTGGACACACCGGTCAGCTGTCCTGTTGCGTAAAGCCCTGGACACACCGGTCAGCTGTCCTGTTGCGTAAAGCCCTGGACACACCGGTCAGCTGTCCTGTTGCGTAAAGCCCTGGACACACCGGTCAGCTGTCCTGTTGCGTAAAGCCCTGGACACACCGGTCAGCTGTCTTGCTGAGTAAAGCCCTGGACACACCGGTCAGCTGTCCTGTTGCGTAAAGCCCTGGACACACCGGTCAGCTGTCCTGTTGCGTAAAGCCCTGGACACGCCGGTAGTGTTTGCCGGCCGAGACTACTTAGCACCTCTGAACAGAGTGCCAGCTGTAATTTGCTAATCGATTCTAGATGTAGAAAAAGGCTAAAGTAATTGCAGTCAGACACCTACTGACGGATGGTCCCTGAAACACACAGAGCGGAATGAACGCGAGACGAACAGCAGACCGCCATTGGTGCAACGTTTTCTCCTTAAAATATAAAAGTCTGTTCAAGGCAAACTTAAGACATTTGCTAAATTCCAAATCGGCCTCTAGCCCCCACACTCTAGCCACTCCTGTAGATCTGAGGGGATTGGATAGATATAAGCATGTGAGTAACAGCTTACTATAGTCTTCTGAATGGTTGGGTGGAAATATCACCATGTTGCTTCCACCTATCCAATCCTGTCAGATCTACTAGTGAGTAGGGGTCAAGTTGGAATTCAGAAATTGGTTGCATTGGCTTGTGTGCTACTATTTGTATTTTATAAAAGCTTTGCTCTGTCTCTTTCAGTACCGTGAGGAGCGCTTCAGGCAGACCAGTGAGAGCACCAACCAGAGGGTTCTGTGGTGGTCCATCGTTCAGACATTGATCCTGGTGGCCATTGGCTTCTGGCAGATGAGACACCTCAAGAGTTTCTTCGAGGCCAAGAAATTAGTGTAGACCTGCTCTCTCATTTTGTTGTTTATCTGAGTCCGGGTTGGGGATCAATTCGGTTTCAAATCAGTAAATTCAGGAAGTTAACTTTAACTCTATTCTTGAATTGAGAATTGCCCCATTGTTTTCTATGAGGCTTTTTTCATTCATCAATTTGAATTAACTTCCTGAATTGATAAGTGAATTGAACCCAACCCTGGTCTGAATGGAGTACTTAAACATCAGTCAGAATGCGAGTTTGCTCTCAGAAGTATGTGTGTAGACTGGTGAGGTTACCATCCTATCAGTGAAAACCACCCAATTATTTTTATTTTGAGAGGGCTCTGCTTTTGGATTTTTAAGACCCTTTTGTGACTTTGATATTCCCCATCCCTGTTTCTGTAAGATAACTCTGTCTGCAATTGGTTTTATTTATGATCCTCTACAGTATGCTATATGTTTTATTTTTGGCTGGGAAAAAATTGTCTTGTACTATTGATGATATCAAACATGGTTATGCTATTGATGATATCAAACATTGTTCTTCGAAGGTTAAAACCACCTTGACAACCCATAAGATATTTCTGTAGCACCTTTTGTGACTAGAATACCTGTCAGTCATATTACAGGCCACATCTCTTCTCTCAAAATAACAGGTGTGTTTTCAAACTGATTAGACAATGTTCTCACTCTACTTGCATCGTAATGGGGTTTTTGTTACTGGCCGAGAGAGATCATCTATTTTGGTTTAGAGCCATACAGCAGAAAATGTGATTTGATTTATGAAACTTATTTTTGGTAATGTGTGCGTACTAATCTTTACGTTTTGATTTAGCTTAAAATGAATGTACATTTCAACCCCTGATGTATTCAGTGTTGGTCGTGGTCTGTGTGTTTAGAAACAGAAAGACATCCAGAATATGCAGAATTTTAAAATGAAGATCTTGAAAATTGGGAACCTTCTCCTGTCTTGTTAACCAGTATCTGTATTCCCAAAGCACCTCGGAGTAGGCCTGCTGATCTAGTATCTGTTACCCCTTGTTAATAAAAGGCTACATTTATCCTAGATCAGCACTTGGACTCTGAGACACTTTCTCAATACGGGCTCTGTCTGTGTTTTATTTAATGGTCAATTTATAAAGCTGGAAAGTGAGACAAGAAACATGACATTTTGGTTAAAGGGTGGTGCTAGAGTGTCTGTTGTTAATATGGTAGTTTTATGGAAAACAGTTGTGAAATACTAGCTATGCATTTGCTGAAGTACGAAATCAGTTCACACAGTTTCTCCCTAACTTGCTGAATACACTGCCAAAGATGTTCCCTTATCACAATCCATTGGCTTGAATGTGGTCAAGTGAACATTGGTTGTTTTTTCATCTGTACTGCAAATCTAAGTGAACCTAGAGAGATGCTGTTTTGGGGATCTATTTTGTCCATTTCCTTTCTGCAAATACTCAGGTAGAGTTTTGAAGACACAGATTTAATTCAATTAAATAAAGAACTGCTGTCCAGGTTAACAGTTTGCTCCAGTTCTCATCATGTACAAGGAGTTGATTCTTGGGTAAACATCCAAATCAAAATCAAATCAATTGTACACTTGGAAAGTACTTAGCCAGAAAGCAGTCCTTGCTTCTTGACATTCATAAAACAATTTGAACTATACTGGATCATTGTTGCAAAAAAAATATTTTTGTTCAGTTAATCCGTTTTTTGTGTGTTTCTCCTTAATATTCCCAAAACTGTTCCTTATTCAATTAGTTCATCATTGGCGGGTTTTTTTGCATTTATATGGTTAGATACAGTATCAGAGATTTCGAGTATGATTTGAATCAATTGGGGATGGTTTGTTTTTGGTGGGGGGATGTTAAGTTTAGATTCTGTAAATGTAAAAACCTGTCTAAATTGCACTACAAAATAAAGTTTTGTCACCTTTGGCTAGCCATCTTGAATTACTATTTTCCACCGACACTTTGCCAAACAAAAATATTAGATCAGACGTGGGTCCATCCCTAGGGAATGCATTCTATAGTTCCGCAAATGCATAGGAACGTTCAGTGCTTGATAACGTGTTTCCCCCGGAGCAATATCGTAGGCAGACTTTATTAAAACGGATGATCTTTTCTTGAGTAGAAGCTATTTAGCGAAATAACGAATTATGGCAATGTAACTTTCGTATGGTAGTGTGTGAAACACACTTAATTATTGAAACAAATTATATTTGTATAGTTTATGTTGCTAGACTTTTTTGTTTCCCGAAATCCACGCGTCTCACCACAGATAGAACAATATTTGGTCTCATTGTGCAGTAGGACATGGATAGGAACAACATTTCCCTTGCTCTGCCTTGTTGCTACGTGTACACCCGGGGCGTCTTCATTACGCCGATTCTGTTGCAAAACGTTTCTTAAACGAAATGAAACGAGGCGGGACCTACCTTAATTTGTTAAATAGAAACTCTCGTTTTAGTTGCAAACGTTTTGCAGCAGTTTGGACTAATGATTACACCCCTGCTAGACATCTAGCAGTGAGCATCAATGTTGCTCTGTTATTAGCCGGCGTCAAGCCAAAGCTTTGCCAAACATTGGCACGGCATTTCACGTTCAGTAACCAAAGGCGTAATGTGACATTTCCAGGAAGAATATGACAAGAACATCAGTTGGACATCAAAATAATCCGACTGCAAAGGAGAGAGCCGGGAAGAATGGAGAAGTTCGATTGTAGAATAACGACGACATTATCTGTTTCATGAGTAGCTACTGTCCAAATCTGGGGAATAGCAATACTGTATTTTTCTGTGCAATCTTCAAGCTGTTGTCCTTTGCAACTTCGAAAATGATGTATTCATCAAGAAGGAAACCAGTCCTCTATTTCAAAGAAGACAGAAGGTAAAACGTAACGGTAGTCGGTAGCCCTGATGTTCACAATGATCCTATCCTAGATTGATTAGTCTAGATGAGGGAACAGACCTATGCATTTCAAGACATTAGCAAGCTAGTAAATGTGTTTCATTTTGAACTACTAGCTAGGCCTATTTAATAATACCAATACACTACTACTGTAGATACACTAAAGCCTCTATCTCTGGCTCTTACATTGGGACACAAACCTAGCTCTCTAAAACGTTTAAGAATGCAGCTGGTGTAAATGGATTGCAGTCAGATGACTAAGCTTGTTCAAATATTTCACATAATTTCTTAGTATTGTACAACCTCAAAGAAATGAGAAACCAAAAGTACCTCGTCCAGAAGAGAGTAATCAGTGAGTAGTTGACTACAATAGAAGTGTGTTGTTCTCAGATTTTGTTGTGTGAAATAATGTTGGTGGATTGATTTTTGTTTGTTTGCTGGTAAAATTAATGATAGTATTTTAAGGCAGCCATTCCTTATAATCTAGACGTAGCCATTGCATACTGTGTGTATGGGTTTGGTTGTGCAAGCGTTTAGTGTACAATACTAATGCCTAACTGAGTTACTGCTACTAAAGCTCTCACTTTGACATGCATGACACTTGGTCAGTTTATGGTTAAGGTGTACAACATAACATTGATTGACTTCACTACATTGCTGAATATGAGACTTGCTATTACTTATACTTTCAGATTCTGGTCTGGGAAATGCACAGTCTACAAACTATTTGGTATGTGTATGGTGCTGGTACTGGTCTCCCTCCTATGGCTCCAACTCAGCTGTACAGGAGACATGAGCCGGGTTGTAGTGGATGACGGACGCCTCCCTCCTCAGCCCTGTCCGCTGGAGAGACAGGCATCTGCTGCGGACAACCCTTCCTGGGGTCCTCACAAGCTGGCCCTCCTGATACCGTTCAGGGAGAGGTTTGAGGAGCTGCTGGTGTTTGTCCCCTTCATGCACACCTTCTTAAACAACAAGAAAATACTGCATAAGATCTTCGTAATTAACCAGATGGATCACTATCGGTAAGTGATGCAAGACGTTATGTTGCCTTGTTAGTCATTAGGCCTACAACAGAAGTCCTGTTACTGTCTAATCCGAAGGCCACAACATATTATACTATGTTCTGTTCTATTCTGTTCTATTCTGTTCTATTCTGTTCTGTTCTGTTCTATTATTCTATTCTGTTCTGTTCTGTTCTGTTCTATTCTGTTCTATTCTATTCTATTCTGTTCTGTTCTGTTCTATTCTGTTCTATTCTATTCTGTTATGTTCTGTTCTATTTCAGTCCAGTGGGTGTTGATGAATTCTGATTGGCACAGAGGAACTATAGTCTGGATGTGTGCCTAGTTGATTTGCGCCTTACCAAATAAATATTGTCTCCTACTGGAAGTAAATAATTAGTTCCATCCATATCTCACCACAGGTTCAACAGAGCCTCTCTCATTAACGTTGGTTACATGGAGAGTGGTAACGACACTGATTACATCGCCATGCACGATGTGGACTTGTTACCTCTGAATGAAGCGCTGGACTATGGATTCCCAGAGGAGGGCCCTTTCCACGTGGCCTCACCAGAGCTACACCCCCTCTATCACTACAAGACATACGTGGGAGGAATCCTGCTGCTCACCAAACAGCATTATCACATGGTAGGTTAGCCTATTGTTAAGTTAATCATTCATTATCCATAATAATAATAATAATAATAATAATAATAATAAGACAGCATTTCAGAGCTCCAATACATTAAATTCATTATTTACCCATACACATATTCTAATCAAATTTGATTTGTCACGTGCCAAATACAACTGGTGTAGACTTTACCGTGAAATGCTTGCTTATGAGCTCTTCCCAACGATGCAGCGTTTAAAAATAGTAACACATGAGGAATAAAATAAAATACACAAGAATGGAGCTATATACAGGGAGTACCAGTACCAGATCAATGTGCAGGGTATTTCAGGTACAGTTGAAGTCGGAAGTTTACATACACCTTAGCCAAATACATTTAAACTCAGTTTTTCACAATTCCTGACATTTAATCCTAGTAAAAATTCCCTGTCTTAGGTCAGTTAGGATCACCACTTTATTTTAAGAATGTGAAATGTCATAATTATAGTAGAGAGAATGATTTATTTCAGCTTTTATTTCTTTCATCACATTCCCAGTGGATCAGAAGTTTACATACACTCAATTAGTATTTGGTAGCATTGCCTTTAAATTGTTTAACTTGGGTCAAACGTTTCGGGTAGCCTTCCACAAGCGTCCCACAATAAGTTGGGTGAATTTTGGCCCATTCCTCCTGACAGAGCTGGTGTAACTGAGTCAGGTTTGTAGGCCTCCTTGCTCGCACACGCTTTTTCAGTTCTGCCCACACATTTTCTATAGGATTGAGGTCAGGGCTTTGTGATGGCCACTCCAATACTTGTATTTTATTTTTTATTTTACCTTTATTTAACTAGGCAAGTCAGTTAAGAACAAATTCTTATTTACAATGACGGCCTACACCTTGACTTTGTTGTCCTTAAGCCATTTTGCCACAACTTTGGAAGTATGCTTGGGGTCATTGTCCATTTGGAAGACCCATTTGCGACCAAGCTTTAACTTCCTGACTGATGTCTTGAGATGTTGCTTCAATATATCCACATAATTTTCCTTCCTCATGATGCCATCTATTTTGTGAAGTGCACCAGTCCCTCCTGCAGCAAAGCACCCCCACAGCATGATGCTGCCACCCCGTGCTTCACGGTTGGGATGGTGTTCTTCAGCTTGCAAACATCCCCCTTTTTCCTCCAAACATAACGATGGTCATTATGGCCAAACAGTTCTATTTTTGTTTCATCAGACCAGAGGACATTTCTCCAAAAAGTACGATCTTTGTACATGAAGGCAGGGTAAAGTGACTAGGCATCAGGATAGATAATAATAAGGTATTTGAGGTAGATATGTACATGAAGGCAGGGTAAAGTGACTAGCCATCAGGATAGATAATAATAATTGCACGATTGTTCATGGTGGTGGTGTGCTGTTTTAACTGTCATGTTCTGTGTTCCGGAAGTGCTGTTTTAACTGTCATGTTCTGTGTTCCGGAAGTGCTGTTTTAACTGTCATGTTCTGTGTTCCGGAAGTGCTGTTTTAACTGTCATGTTCTGTGTTCCGGAAGTGCAACGGCATGTCCAACCGGTTCTGGGGGTGGGGGAGAGAGGACGATGAATTCTACAGGAGACTAAGAACTTCTGGATTACAGGTAAACCAGGACTGTCCTTGCGTGTCACAAAGCGACAGAGATAGCTAGGAAGTTTGGCTAATCCCTCAAGTTACTCCAAAATAATGACAAGCCAATGAATGATAAGCATTGGTATCTGACACATCTACCTACATATTAGAAAAACTCATAGTACGTTTGCATGTAGACCAGCAAAAAAGCTGCTGCCACGTCTCTAAATACTATTAATAATATAATCAATCTCTAATTTTCTGTTTGCCAGCTCTTCAGACCCAGTGGGATAAAAACAGGGTATGAAACCTTTCGCCACATCCATGACCCTGCCTGGAGGAAGAGAGACCAGAAGAGAGTGGCTGCACAGAAACAGGTAGAGATGCTTTCACTGGAAACTACTACCATGTTGTATTGTTATGTGTTGCATTCAGAGATAGACAGATACTGGATTTATCTCTTTGGTTGTATTTTTAAATCACAGTACTGACATTATTGTATTCTCTCCTCGTTTTTGGAAGGAACAATTCAAGGTTGACCCTGAGGGCGGGCTGACTAACTTGCAGTATAAGGTGGAGTCGAGACATGAGCTGACTATTAGCGGAGCCCCTGTCACTGTCCTCAACACCAAACTGGAGTGTGACACGGACAAGACTCCCTGGTGTCTGCTGAACTAAAATGGCCCCCCATGATAGACCCATGCTGCCTCTCATCTGGGTTATGTTCATTCTCCTCCAAACAGAAGAAAACAAGACTAAAACAAGGAGGGACTACCTGAACTTCTCCAATGAGACACTTGTTTTTGTGCGCCTTTTATGAACATGACCCAGGTGCTACAGAGGGCGATGTTTCCCCTGCCTTGTGCTAGCCAGGACAGTTTCTGGTCCGGAAGACATGGCAAAAAAAATAAAATGTTGATTTTTTTTATTCATACAATCGACCCAGAGAAGAGGCTTTGGCCTTTGACCCCAGCAACGCCTTCCCTCATTGGAGAGATGGAATGTATTTATATTGAACTAGCTACATTAAGTTATCCTTTAGAACTGCAGCGTAGCTGTCTGACTTGCGTTCAGAACTGTGAGTGACTGGATCTCATGCAGGGGCTTTAAACTACAGACACTTTGCCAATATTGAGGATACATGAAAGGAAGGGTATACTGAAATAATAAGCAATGGCCTTTGTATCTGTTTATTTATTAATATTTACCCTTATTTTACCAGGTAAGTTGACTGAGAAAATATTCTCATTTACAGCAATGACCTGGGGAATAGTTACAGGGTGATGAATGAGCCAATTGGAAGCTGGGGATGATTAGGTGGCCATGATGGTATGAGGGCCAGATTGAGAATTTAGCCATGACACCGGGGTTAACACCCCCACTCTTACGATAAGTGCCATGGGCTCTTTAGTGAACACAGAGAGTCAGGACCCCTGTTTAACGTCCCATCCGAAAGATGGCACCCTACACAGGGCAATGTCCCCAATCACTGCCCTGGGGCAATGTCCCCAATCACTGCCCTGGGGAATTGGGATATTTTCTTTAGACCAGAGGAAAGAGTGCCACCTACTGGCCCTCCAACACCACTTCCAGCAGCATCTGGTCTCCCGTCCAGGGACCGACCAGGACCAACCCTGGCTAGCTTCAGAGGCCAGCCAGCAGTGGGACGCAGGGATTGTCTGCTGCTGGGTGTGATCCCAATGGACCATTTGCACTTTTCAGGAAATCCCTTCTCTGTCCTTCAATTGAAGTCTGCTATACTGTCTGTCTTAATGTATTATCATCAGAGTTAGTTTACGATGAAAGGGTTTTCTTTCTGACGTTGTAATGCACTGCATTGGCATTTCCATGATCCATAGCGCTGTATTCTCATCCGGTATCCACTGTGACCCATCATGTGATCAACTAGTAGTGAGTTGAGTATCAGGGTACCATTTTGGGTTTGTTGTTGATGGTAAAACAGCTTTTAAGGTTTACAGTTGCGCTTTAGAATGTTTTCAGAGACCGACTAGACGTTATGAAAGTATGTTTGGGTAAATGATGCTGTGTTTACAACAGTGTGGCCATATACCATACTGCTGTAATGTATTTTTGAATGACTAGACAAGTCAATGGTACCGTACATGTATTTGTACAATATTCAGTATGTATATGAAGTTATGACTCAAAAACCTGGGGAAAACATGCATAGTCTTTTTCTCGTTATAAAGGTCTTCATTGTACATAATATGATTAACACGTATTGTATTTTCAGTACTTAACATGATCTATTTGATCCATTTGAAGTTCTGTCTGACAGAAGACAGTTGTACCTAAGCTTTGTTATGTCGATGTCCCTCACTATAATTGAAAATGCTACAGTTCTTGTTGCAGTTGAAACCTACTCAGGAAATGCATATAGGGATTGTTAACTGATGGCACTTTGCTTTAGAGTGTAAATTAAGGTGCATAATTAGCCTGTCATTCAAGGTGTGACTTTAATCTTACTGGTCCTGTAAACAGCCATTAATGAGGGCTTTTACACACCTTTGAAGTCAACCCTGCATTGTCCCACTGGTTATAGACAAGGCCAATTTTTGAATCCACTAGAAATGCAAACAACAGATAAGTGTACCACTACCAAGAAGTGTACAATAGACGGTGTCTGTAATTTAGCATATGACATGGTAAGTTTATAAAAATCAGTCATAACTCGTTATGCATTTAAAGTCTGCTCGAGACTGCAACAGTTAGGCCTATTTCTGCTTCATGACAATGAGAAGTGTCATTATTGCATTTAAATACCATAGGAAGCAAGCTATCATATGTAATGCGCTGTCCATATGCGATCATGGTTGTGTGCCTTCATAGCCTAATAATTATAGAATATAACACATTTATTTCATAAGCACAAACTGAGTCGCACTCAGTGGCAATTTTGCCTAATTTTGGGGGCGGGCGTTTGCCGAAACCCAATGGAATTATTAATCATTATTTCATTTGAATATCACAATGAAAACCTTTAGGCCTGTCTACTGAATAATGATTACCTTTGTGGTGATTTGTCACTTCAGCCCCGCATGCAAAGCTCCAGTCTGAAGTCTTTGTCAGGTCATAATTGAGTCATCGGCTCTCGGTCGACCAGAAGACGGCCCCATCAGGACAGGTTTACACTAATCTCCTCAAAGTAGTTTCTGACTCGATGGGACAAGACCTTTCAGGCCCTATGATCTATCTGTTGAGGCGGGGTATAAAGGCCTTGCCTCCCGCCTGGAGAATGAGGCACACTCAACGGTGCACCATGACGAGAGGAAGCCTTAACGCGAGTTCCCTCAACCGGACATCTTCTTTCTCATCACCATCATACTTTCCCTTTTATGGTGGAGCAACGGACATCTCATGGTTGCCAAACAAGGTTCTATCAAAGACAAAGAAGGCGTGCTGCTTCCGTGTTGAAGTTATCCTTTCCGTGGGTCCTTCCCGGGAAGCAGCCGCACAACAAGCCATGCACATCCAGCAACCAGGCGGAGGCGCAAGGAACCATCCTGCGGCGATGCTGACTTGGGCGCATCTTGGAGACACAAATTCACTTCACCCAGTTTACTACCAGCAACTAAGTGGTTATAATCAAGGTCTGTATAACGGTAAGAGTTCAATTTATGTCGTCAATGTTTCCGACTTTTATTGTTTTGGCCCAAGTGATATTAGCCTACATCAGGGTTCTTCAATTCCGGTCCTGGAGGGCCGAAACACTCCTGTTTTTTATTTCTACCTGGTAGTTAATTGCACTCACCTGGTGTCCCAGGTCTGAATTAGCCCCTGATTAGAAGGAGAGGGTGAAAAACAGAGGTGTTTCAGCCCTCCAGGACCGGAATTGAAGAACCCTGGCCTACATTATAGGTCTCGCGTTGAATTGTCTTGTAAAACTGATGATCTGACTCCTCTTAATTCCAAATGGAATATGGAATAGGTGTCATTGTGTAATGAATATTGTTTGGAAATTAATATTTGTTTTCTCTGCAGGGCAACCGGGCTGTCTATCCAGGGGAACCTTCGTGCAGAGATCCGGCAGGAGAATCCGCACCATCTACACCGACGACCATCTGACTAAACTAGAAGAGGTGTTCAGTAAGCAGCGGTACATGACCGGGACGGAGAAGATGCTTCTGGCCTCAGCGCTGAGACTGACCGAGACACAGGTCAAAGTCTGGTTCCAGAACAGGAGAACGCGGTGGAGGAAGGCCCACGGTGACATGGCGGATGTACCGGAGAAGCACGCGCACAATGAAACATCGAGCAGGGAGGAGGATGAGTTGATTTCCGTGGACAATGACGAGTCATGGGTGTATTTTTGATTTAAAGTTATATTAGTAAATGCCTTGAGGCCATCACACACATTCACGATGATTCTTGAATTCTTGTTCTTGTCAAACAAGAGACTTGCCTGTATTTTACCACTGTGTGGCCTGGCATGAGATGCTTTAGCTCATCAATCAGCTATCAACTAGGCTATGATTCACTGAAGATTTAGCCATGTCATTTTTGTAATGTATTTTATATTCCTGTTTCACAACATCCCTTATGTGATTTAGTTTTTTCACCCCTTCCTTTTCACACGGACTTTTTATTGGATTTATTTTCAGTTATGTGATTGCATTTATCCACGTACCGAACCCAGGATATAGGTCCTCCTATACTGCAGTTTTTTCTGTTCTTTAATGTGGAATATTTTCTACTGATTACTGTCTCTATATTTTTGTTTTGACTTATTGTTTTACCTACTTGATATGCAATTCACTTGTAATTTTTTATAATAAAACTTTGGCCTATAGATGAGAAATGGTGTATAATCATTTTCATATAGAAAATGCCGTGTCCAAAACAGAAAGTGTGTATTTATTAAAGAACACGCTATTTGGGGCGACAGGTAGCTTAGTGGTTAAGAGCGTTGTGCCAGTAACCGAAAGGTCGCTGGTTCTAATCCCCAAGCCGACTAAGTTAAAAATCTGTCGATGTGCCCTTGAGCAAGGCACTTAACCCTAATTGCTCCTGTAAGTCGCTCTGGATAAGAGCGTCTGCTAAATGACTAAAATGTAAATGTATTTGCTGCAAATAACTATACATAAATATATATATACCAAATCGACTCATTCTAATATACTCGGATGACAATAGTGTGATGGACACAAGACTCCAGGTATAGCCCCAAACTGAGCGACTGATGCATTATGGGCCACTACAGTCTGTTTATTCGTCTTCAATGAGTAAAGAAGTCCCTCCAGGCAAACTGGCCCTCACTTAACCAGGTATTATGTTCCTAGAAGCCAGGTGTGTGGAGGTAAAAGCTTAAAGTCAGACCCAACACTGACATTCTTCTTCTTCCTAATTGACCTTTATGGACTCGAGCTGACAGAGACAGGAAATGTTTGTGCGCGAGAGTAAATAAATCAAGACAGCTCCGAGAGGGAGACAGCAGTGATAGGCGCACAAAACGTTCCACAATTTGAGCCTAAATATGCTTCACGGTTCAATTGCAATTAGGTAGTATATAGAAGTTTCCATTATGTAGATATTAATAAAGTATACACGTGAAATTAATACATTTATAGTAATTCGGGGTACATTTTTAAAAGAATAGTATTGAATTGAATAAAATAAAAATGTTGCTAATAGGTAATTATGAAAAATAGAAGGCCTTGTATTTTTTTATTAAAATAGATATATCATGAATTCTATCCCGGCGCTGACCTATACTGAGACCATCAACATCCACTAGAGGGCATTGACCACATAAATAGAGCTCCCCAGATAACCAATTAATTCACTTGACATCATTCATTTACCATCAAATTAAATGTAAATAAATAAATAATTAAGCCAGCAGAAGAGTTGGCAAAACGATGCTTTACCTTTGACAGATGTACTTAACTATGCCTGTACTGTAACTTCGAATTAATACAGTTGTTATTAAAATACTGAATTAATATAATCAACGAATATGTATATTTAAGGGGACTGTTTTCATTCCTCATTCAATGTACTGAAACTATAAAGGTAATCTGTAATGACCTGATGTGTAGATGAATGTTCCATTCAACAGAGTTCTGTAAAACTGCTCATGTTTTACATGTCCTTTATAGCTTACTATATAGAATAAAGTAAATGGCTGCCATTTACTATAACACATCCTATGTCTGTTCCTTTCTGAATAGAGTAACCTCATTCCATGTAAAAGGGACTTAACTCCAGTTAGCTGATTCAAGACAGACCATGCAGGGGGACAATAATCACATTTTAACTCAGCTTCACACCCCTGTGTACCTACAAAAACTCCAACTGCTTAATACCTCCTTTCAGATCAGCAAAATCTGTCATTAATTGCCAGAGGCAAAATTAATAGTTGTTAATGGCCGCCTGAATCAAAGGCTCCGGGGCTAGATCTGCCAGTAAAACCTATTAATTCTATACAGGGGGACTGGGCGGCATAGGAATTGGTATAGGGGACAAGAGGGGTGGAGACAACTCCTTTGGGACTCAAAGGGCTCTTTGGCCCTTGGTCGTTCACATCAGCTTCCACAGAGCAGATCATGAAAGATGGAAGCAGGGGGGCTTTTGTGGTTCGTCCTGATTATTTCTCCCCTGAAAGGACTGACATCTGTCCTGGGTTCCTGGGACTGGCTGGGTCTCTGATCTACTGGTACCCCCCCCCCCCCCTCCCCCTCCTCTCCCTCAACAACATCTAAGATGGTAACTACCCAAGAGGGAGGGAAGGCACCCTGGACATAACATGAAGAGGACATATTTCCCAGACCTTAGTCAAAAAATACCTCTTTAGCTGACCTATTCTCAAAAGGAGTTTCATTTAGCTGACCTAGAGGCCTATTCTGTAAAGGAGTTTCATTTAGCAGACCTATAGGCCTATTCTGGAAAGGAGTTTCATTTAGCAGACCTATAGGCCTATTCTCAAAATGAGTTTCATTTAGCAGACCTATAGGCCTATTCTGTAAAGGACTTTCATTTAGCAGACCTATAGGCCTATTCTGTAAAGGTGTTTCATTTAGCAGACCTATAGGCCTATTCTGTAAATGTGTTTCATTTTGCAGACCTATGTAACGGAGTTTCAGTCCACAGTGGTTTTGGATGCCTTGATAAAAAAAATAATAATAATAGTAAACCTCAGAGATATTTTGTAGTTAATCCCGAGAATTATCATGTTCAAATTGTTAGAAGTGGCTTTAAAGGTTTAAAGGTTAGGACTAGTCTGATCTTTGACCTAGAATTCAGTTGTGCAATCAACCTACAGGTGCTACTGTCAGCTATGGGCTATAGGATACATTACCTTTGCAAATAGGAAAAAGCAGAATAACTTATTTGTGTGAGAACCTTTTTTATTATTTTCTATTGGGGGGGGCGGGGGGGGGGGACTTGGGGCATACACTTGTTATAAGTAAGTTATAATTAGTAAATAATTAACAACAAAATCCTTCAAATTATGGTGCTTCTGATTTAATATGATATCACTTTGTAACATTGAAATAAACGCATATGGATAGGCTATTAGTCACAAATCAATTCAATAAAGCAGAAGCAACTCATTTAGACTAGAAAATGGCTGTTATGCTAGGCTACACCGTCCTATCTGCGCATGCCCACCACACCTCTGGCAGCGACAGTTGAGGGCAGGTATTGAGTCTGACGAGTGACAGGCTCTTTCTCAAAGGCTTAGCCTACTGATCCTCGCTCCTAATGCAGCACAGTCCAAAAATGGTTTCCAGGAGTGATGAGACTGAGACAAGAGCCAGACTGTCATAAACATAAAGTAATCACAGACTAATAAATCTGACGCTGCAGTGGTAGCTGGAACCGAAACTTGATTTTGGGCAGATCGTTACAGCGGAGAAATCCGGTCGATAACCCATTGAAGACAAGGGTCGGAGACAACTGAACTGGCTCTACAGGCAATCCGCTTCCAGAGGTCCACGGATATTGGCAACAAGGTTTGCACGCGTAAGGGACTGCGAGTTATGGATTTCCCGGGAACTCTTCTACTACTACTGTTGTGAGGTTTTCTTTTCCATCACCTGTTTTATAACAGTGTTATTGAATATATTATTAGAAATATATAAACTATAGCCTATTTGTGATCATGTACCAACATAGTAAGAAATGTTTTACCATCGAATCCCTGGTTGGGAAAGACGTGAACTCTTCGACTACCGGGGACGAACCGATCAGACCCACAGCGCTGAGGTTCACGGAATCAATTCACCCGGCGCCCTTTGGGAGTTGTTTCCAGAACTCCGGCAGGACTTTATACAGCAGTCCAGACATGATGTTCCCTGACCCGGGTACACACACAGGGAACTCCGGTCTTCCCCTGCATCCTCTCCAGCTTCCATCGCAGCCTTTCTTCAACCCGCATCAGAGAGACACGTTGAATTTCTACCCGTGGGTTCTTCGAAACAGATATCTCGGACACAGGTTCCAAGGTAAGCGAACAAGTTCTTTAATTGAATGAATATTGCAAAGTTATTTTCAATAATATCATATGTTTTGGCATATCCTTGCATATCCTTGCATGCTTGATAAATACACATATAGGGACATATTACGCACGAGCTAAATGACAATGACTGTATGCATCAGAAATGAGAACTTACTCTATAGTTCACTGATAGAAGAAATGTCCTTATGACCCATGATGGTTTTTTATTCAGGAAACAAATAATGTCTAAAAAGGGTAGTAAACAAAGCAACAAAAACAGGACCAAAACAAATGATTAAAACTACTGAAATCTGTTTGGAGAGGGAAAAGTTTCAATATCCAACTATAGCTTTTATAAATAAAAAAGTATTTTTACTTTTTCAGTCTATGCATTATTGGTAAATTTTTCAGAGATTGGAATTTAAATTAATTCCATTGGAACATTCGAGCAAACATAAAACATCGCACCCAGGTTTGCACCCGACGGTAGCCTAAAAAAACCTGTAAAAAACGGTAACATTTTATTAACATAAATGCATACTTTTCGCCCATTTTCAGTAGTTTAATTTTGGAACATTAATATATGTTTTAAATTCAATTAAAGTATACTATATAGTTTATTTTTATTCATTTATTTAATGCACATCGAAAGCATTGCACTTTCTTATAAAGTATGTTCCCAAAAAGTTGTTAGGAGATCAATAGTCTAATATATGAATAATACTAGGGTAAATTAATTGTGATTTAAATGTGTAAGCTGTATGCAATTATACAACTAAAATAATATAAAATAAGAACAATATTTATCTAACAAATAGGCTTATAATCAAGATTTCTTTCCCATTTGCCTACCCGTTCGTTTTAGGTTTT